GCTTTTTTTTTTTTTTTTTTTTTTTTTTTTACTACGAAAAAATAACACAGCATTTAATCTGTTGCAAAGACCACAACAGGTCAGAATGTTTTTAATGCCATGGATTCCTATTTGAAACATCTGACTTCATCTTGTGAATCATGTTTGCACACCTAACAGTGCTGGGAGCTGGGGTGGTGCGGGTGCTAAGGTGTATAGTTGACTACCCAGAAGTCACAAATTCAAGGCCAAAGCAGAGTTTATGGTGCAGCCTGTCAGATTCCAACAAAATCTGCAAATTCTGCTAAATACCTTGTGACAAGGACATGAAAAAGAAAGGATTTAACAGTGCTAACACTGCATGGCACCCTGGAACACCCCTAGAAGGACCTCAAGGTACCCCAGGCTGCCACAGCACACTAACTGAGGATCAGTGCCACATGATGGATGGGCCACATACATCTGTCTCTTTCTCCTCTTCTCATCCATCTCGCTCTCTGTGTCTGTCTCTCTCTCTTCTGTCTCTGTTTGTCTGGCTGTCTCTCCCTCCCTTCAGAACCCAGCTGAAATTGTAATTCGCCAGGAGCCCCAGCGCTCAGCTGTGGACCCAGGCAGGAGCTTCTGCTGTGCCGATCAGGTAGCAGCATCACCTTCAGCCAGGTTCAGGAGGGACGGAGGGATGCGGAGAGAGACTGACAGAAGAGACGAGACAGAGAGAGAGACTGCCACCCACAAGGTATGGCAGCAGCTCCAGTCTGGGTCCATGGCTGACACCTTTGGCAGGTTCTGAATTGAGGCTCCAGGCAGGAGCTTACACTGTGCTGGGAGGGCAGTGGGTCAGCTGTGGACACCACTGGCAGGTTCTGTGTCTGGGCTCCCAAACCTGGCTGCAGCATCCACAGCTGATGCTACCACCTGCCCGCTGTAGTGAAAGCTCTGCCCAGGTCTACACCTGATACCTGATGCTGCTGGGTGGAAGCAGTCCCGCCTGCCCAGCACCATGCAGCAGCCAGAGCTGCCAGCCTCACGTGCCAGATCCAGTGAGTTGGCGGACATCCACCCATGTGCCAGATCAAATATGTTGGCGGGTTAGACCTGGCACGCAGGCTGTATTTTGCCCACCCCTACTGTTAACTAAACCTTTCCCTTAATTCAGGGGTGGGCAATTATTTCAGGCGGAGGGCCACTTACTGAGTACTGGCAAGCTGTTGAGGGCTGCAGTGGTAGCCCCACCCCTTCACAGGTGCCCTGCCCCCTGGTTGCCATCTTGTGACCGGAAGTCCCACCCCCTAACTCCTGACCTTTGCCACCAGAAGTCCCTCCCCTTGCCCCAGAAGTCCTCCTTTCAGCAAGAGGTTTTGCCATCTCAGAACCAGAAAAATACCAAATTATATTCTAAAAATCAAACATCTACAGCATTCATTAATTTGATTTCAAAAAAGATTTTTGACATGATTTACATGCATTTGTATAGTGCACATAGAATTGACTGCACAATAGGATAAAATTAAGTTTTATGCTTGTATATTGTGGGGGGGGG